TTTTTTAATGAAAACATTTAATTCGACTCAAAGATCATTTTAGATCTGAAAGTGTGCCATGACCTTAACCACTGGCCTTTTACACATTTTCAAAGTAATTGGTAAAAAGTTGATAAATATTCAATCTTCTCTCAAAATAACTCAAAAGGAAAAAGGAATGGATTGCTTATGAAGCAAGGCTATGCCTCGATTTTGAACAAAGGTCATTTGGAAAAGGTCATGGTCAATGGCAGAAAAATGGGTCTTTCAAAAGCTTTAACCTGGCACAAATGTTATTTTAAGTTACCCCCGGTACTACAGAGTGTGTTAAATGTGTCTTGCTTTATGACCTGGTTAAAGATGAATTGGGAGGAATGAAGTGGAAGAATAATGTTATACACTTTTAACCTTGTAGAATCCTAGTCAACTTAATGGGGCCAAAATAAAATTATAGTTTGTTTGGAATTGCCTCCCGCCTCATTGAAATGCCCCCTCCTGAAAAAATTTTATTGACCAAGAGTACGAAGAATTTTTTTTATTTAATCAATTTTTTTGCCCATTATTCATGTATCATATGCACCATACAAAACACCGAAAGATAGTGTCAGATCTATGTAAATTTAGGATTTTTTGTTGATGGAAGATACTTTATTTAAAAGTCAGAAAATGTATTTACTTTTTACTAAGATTTTTATCAAAAATTTTAAATTTTTCTTCAGTTTAAAAAAATAAAATAATTTCCCTCCCTCCCTCCTGTGTCTGAAACCCTTCAGGCGGCAATTCCAAACAAACAATTTTTTAAGGATGGCCTGGCTTAACAGTCATATAGACAATACAGCTTTCTTGTCCTTAACTACACACATATACATATATGCAATGTATTTACCTGGCAGGAGGATGGTTTTGCATTTCTTTAGAGGCATCTTTAGCCATCAGGGCACTGAATTCTCCTCTGTGAAGGCCAAATATTTCCTCATCCCAAACTGAAAATGATGGCACATGAATTGGAATAAATAAACACATTTCACAAGGATATTAGCTGTATTTATCTGTAATGTAAAAATTATAAGCCTGATTACCTGCGGCCCCGCTAACATTCCACCGATGAAGAAGGAATGGCCACACATGGCCAGCAGGGAAGGAATGTCTGAGATATAGTTCTCCTTCTGATCCTTAGATAACTTGTCCTATTAAGAATAAAAGAAAGTCTTATTTAAAGCAATAGATGATTGTTAAACTCTTAAGCCCCCCCCCCCCCCCAAATAATTGAAAATTTTCAAAGCCCAAGGGGCATAACTCTGTCCAAATGGCTCAATCATACCCATACCAGAAACTGATTTAAACATTCTCATAATCTGTATACTAAATTTCATTACAATATGTGCAACCTCTGCAAAGAAAATGAAAGGAAACTGAAAATAATTGGAATTTTTATAAGTCCATGGGGCATAACTCTGTCCAAAATGGCTTTATCGTACCCAAAACAATTCTTGACCTAGATATTCTTATGATAAATCTGTATACTAAATTTCATTTTAGTATCACTATGTGCAACCACTGCGAAGAAAATGAATGAAAACTTGTTGGACCGACAGACAGACCAACCAACCAACAAACAGACAGACAGCAGCAAAGCAATATGCCCATCCTTCTTCAACGGAGGGCATAAAAAGGCAAATTTGTCTTAAAACAGTGCTTTGTGCATGTTATTCATCTATACATTAAAAAAATTGATTTCTTTTTATGAGATTTAATTATTATATAATTATTACATTTCCTTTTTATTCCTTATTTTAGCAAGTTTTAAATTTCTTAAAATGTGTAACCTTTTTTTAAATTAAATTATATGTACGTACTAAATATACACTCGCAGTAAAATGCAATGGGAGACAGATTTTGGGTCATTCAATTTAAAATGCACATATCTATAGAAACAACGGCAAGATGGCACTCTGAGGTCTACCCCTTCCTAATCTTACAGAAACCTTCCGGTTGTAATACACTATCAGTTATCCAACTTAGGAAGGAAGTGATAGGATTTCCATTTTACACCAACTTCCTTAAGTGTACAGTATACTATTGTGACAGATATTGTATGGAATAAAGGCAGCAAATGTATGGGATAAAAAATTTCTTAAAATTATTTCCTTACAGTTGACAAGAAGTTTAAATAATTGGCCTTTGTTACACATTTAGAACCTTTAGAGGATTGTACCTGTGATTTCTTTCCGTCGTAATAGTCTATTACGAGGGCAGTCAGCCTCAGTGTTAATACACAGTGTGGGGTGCTCCATGTTATCGCGTAGCCCTCCTGGTCTATTTGTAAATATCCATACATCAGATATAACTAAAAAAAGAATTAAACTAAAACAAAATCATCACAGGTAATAAACTGCTTCTGATTTGTCATAATAGGCATATTTTTGTTTGTTTGTTTGTTTGTAGTGTCTAATTTCCCTTTGAAAATTTTTCACTCATATTGAGAAGTCACCATTTGCTAGTATAGGGCTGCATTTTAGACCTGTTCTCAACATCTACGGCATTTAATCACCTGGGAACATTTTTGCAACAGCAACTATGAAAGACCTCGGATGATACAGTCTCCACGTCCCATAGTGGGATTTGAACCTTCAAGGATCAACTCCCTACTTCAAGATTCTTAGCAAATGTCTAACCACTACACCAATGGGAAGCTTGTTAAAATTTTTGTATTCTATTAAATTAATTTTCTAAATGTTTACATTCAAAAAAAAATGCATGACACATTTGATGATTAAACAAAAGGACATTGAAATGTACATTAGATGACATAGATATTCAAATCTTCTTCAAACTTTAAATCCTGAATGCCTTAAGTACATAGATCCTCTTTTCCTTTTATGAAACCTGTTATGACTTTCAAACATTTGATTTATACAATTTATGCTTGGAAAAATCAATTTGGTCAAAATTTTCTTTATCATAATGAAAGTTATACCTGGTGGCTTATTTCACAAATGACAGTTACATAAATTCATATCTATTTTCCCTGTGTTTTAGAGCTTGAAGAACGCAGTTATTTAATATATAATTGTCAAGTACATCTTCTATCTGTAAAGCCACTTGACTTATGAAAAGACTACCCAAGTAGTGCAGAATCAATTTCAGACTCAGTGAGACTTTGTCTTCACTTAAATCAGAAGTACTTACAAGAAGAAGTGCTCAAAATGCTTACACCAGATTCTTCATCAGGACAACGCAGGTCACATGCATTATGACAATTAAATAGCTCTTTAAACATGACTTGTTGTATCGTACAGTGTATTAAAAGTGTCTTTTATCAAACAAACATGATGTTACTTTGGGGAACCAACAATTGAAAATGCAGATACAACAAATAAAATATTTCTCAAGTCATAAAGAGAGGGATGTTTTTCCTACCGAGGTATTTATGCAATTTTACACAAAGGCATGTTTCAACTACCCATCTACATGTACATGCTGATGGTAGACTGTTATCTCTTTATAAGACTACTTATAGACTACATAATAATTCTTATGCAATCAAGCATTTTGTATGCTGCTCAATTACTGAGAAGGAAATATACAGTGACATTTGTAAGCCTGTAGCCTTAATCACTAAGACAACAGGATATTTAATGTAATACCAGTACCAAAACAAGAGGCCCATGGGCCACATTGCTCACCTGAGCAGCTTTGCCATTCTGTTTTTTACCAGATTTCCCCTTGTAATACATAATGCATCCCCATCCTACCCCACTGATCATAATTTAGACATTTTGAAATCTACACTACCCCAGGATCCTTCCATGTGCACATAAGTTTCAGCTTTTCTGTCTCAGTGGTTCTTGAGAAGAAGATGTTGAAAGATTTTTCCTATATAGTTCTATGTAAAAATTTGATTCCCCATTGTGGCCCCGCCCTTCCTCAGGGTGTCATGATTTGAACAATTTAGAATCTATACTATACCAGGATGCTTCCACATAAGTTTCAGCTTTTCTGGCCCAGTGGTTCTTTAGAAGATTTTCAAAGGTTTTTCCTATATATTTCTATGCAAAATTTTGATTCCCCATTGTGGCCCTGCTGTTCCCCCGAAGGTCATGATTTGAACAATTTAGAATCTACACTATCCCAGGATGCTTCCACATAAGTTTCAGCTTTTCTGGCTCGGCGGTTCTTGAGAAGAAGATTTTCAAAGATTTTTCCTATATATTTCTATGTAAAACTTTGATTCCCCATTGTGGCCCGCCCTTCCCCAGGGGGTTATGATTTGAACAATTTAGAATCTACACTATACCAGGATGCTTCCACATAAGTTTCAGCTTTTCTGGCCCAGTGGTTCTTGAGAAGAAAATTTTCAAAGATTTTTGCTATTTATTTCTATGTAAAACTTTGATTCCCCACTGTGGCCCCACCCTTCCCCCGGGGGTCATGATTTGAACAATTTAGAATCTACACTACCCTAGGATGCTTCTACATAAGTTTCAGCTTTTCTGGCCAAGTGGTTCTTGAGAAGAAGATTTTTTTTAAACCCCGTCCTATTTTTGTCTTTTCTTGATTATCTCCCCTTGTGAGGGGACTTGGCCCTTTATTTTAACAATTTAAATTCCCCTTCACCCAAGGATGCTTTGTACCAAGTTTGGTCAAAATTGACCCAGTGGTTCTTGAGAAGAAGTCGAAAATGTGAAAAGTTTACAGACGGACAGCTAGACAGACAGACGGACAGACGGACGACGGACAAAATGTGATCAGAAAAGCTCACTTGAGCCTTCGGCTCAGGTGAGCTAAAAAGATTTATAGATTTTCAATTTTTTAAAAATATTTTTAAATGCTTGATGAAGGCTTGGCCAAATAATATTAGAATACTTACTGAATTAAAGATAAAAGCAAAGGCCACTGAAATCTTGGATCCACCAGCTACTCTAAGCAGAACATAGATCACAATTATATTGATGAGGGGATGAATAAAATGTAATCCTGAAAGATACAAAAAGAGATCATAACCAGAAGCCCATGAAATTATATACCAGCTGCAATCTATTTTTTAAAAGCTGCATCCAACATCAAAAAAAAAAGTTATTGACTTAACCATGTTCCAGACAGATAAAACATTTTTTTCTATCAGTGACCTTGAACTTGCTCAAATGAATATGAATAAAATCCCACGATTCTAGTTTATAAGGAATCTTTGTGTTAAGAATTAGCTTCCAAAGTATCTCAATTACAAGACATGGCCAGCACACCTGGCTTGGACCTTGGATTTTGACCTGGGAAGCTCAGTGGGTAGAGCACCTGACTAGTGATGCAGGGATCCTGGGTTCAGTTCAAGGTCCAGCCATACATTTACTCCTTTCCTGTTACAAATCCGGTGCCATTGACCATCCCTTCGTTTTGTAGGTGAAAGTCCTGCCAGGGGCTAATAAGAACTTGGGTTGTGTCTTTGAGGGCAAGGACAATTTAAGAAGAGAGGAATGTAATGATCTGGGCCATGGGTATTGCTTGGGTATAGCTCAGTAGGTAGAGCATCTGAGTCGTGATACAGGGGTCCCAAGTTCAATTCCTGGTACATTTTTTTCCTTTCTTGTTACATATACCACTAAGTATAATAAACTTTTTCTGCCAGTGATATACTCTTATTGAAGTGGCTTTTGTACTTCATGATAAAAGGTATGGAGAGAACTAATATAGGCTGTTGGCCTGCTGTTCAATTCAATGTTCATTGTATACTTCTTTGTATATTATGAATAAAATACTTCTTAAACTAAAAGGTTTAGCTACCACGTATCTTTATTTTCTATTGCATCAAGGAAGGAAATCTATTAATTTCAAACTGAAAGAAGTTCACATTTCAACAGAATTCATTTTAAGGAAATTCAGTAAAAACCTTTATGACATGTACGCATTGATTTCCAAAGTTATTGTGTGATAAAATCATATTGTGTGACTTTTGGGTTCTTGATGGTGGTGTGGGTGATGGTGTGGTGGTGTGTGTATGTGTGTTTGGGAGGGGGTGGGGGTCGGTGGGTTGTTATCATTTTAAATTCAGATGAAAAAAATTTCAGGGTAAAATAAATCTAAGCATTAAAACTTGATATTTATAGTATCATGTATCCTATAATCATGCTGTAAATTGAAAACACTATAGTTTACAGCTATACTGTATCTATAAATACCGTGAAGTAAATTTCACTTTACTTCAAAAGACTTACCAAAGTTAAAATAATAAACAGCAATTCCTGTTAGAGTGAAGTACAAATGGTGAATATTTTCATGTTTTCCATGAATGAAGGCACGATGGAGGAATCCCAAAGGGTACCCTGAAAGTACAATATTACATATATAATAATCATGTGTAAATATCAAACTGACATCGTAATTCAATGCACCAGTATCAATATGGTGCAATTATATACATTTTTTTTAACTTTCATTGATAACTTTACCATATAAAATGGGGGCCATATGATGTGGAGTCAAAGATGGGAAATAGATTGTGGCTGTGTATGTTTCGGGAATAAAGTACATAATAGCAGTGTTTAATTTTTATTGTACATTGTACTTTCTCATCTTCACACCGTACCGAGTCCACTTGTGGCCACAGGATTCATGATGAACTTTTTTCATATTTCCATAACCTGTTTTTTTTTTTGTTTTGCTGACTGCATTGACATCTTTCAGGGAAATTACAAATTCTGGTTGTTTTTCTTATTTAAATTCTCAACTAATCTCATATAAACATGTTAAATCTTTCAGTGACACACATGAATTTTGAAGAGCTAACTGAACTGTTTAAACTTTCTGTTTACTTTCTATCAGTTGAATAATTTATTTTTATACTCCAATTTCTCTCTCGAGCTCCTTTTTATGTCCGTACACACCACTGCATTTCTATTGAATTTTATTTTATTGTGAAAGTAAAAAAAAAAAACTTAGGCACACTAAGTGTTCTAAGATTTGTATTCGTAATGAATGAATTGTAATTAGCAGATAAATGAATAACACTAACATGTTACTCATGTCACTGTTATAACACACTATGATCAGCTGATGGCTATGTATCCTGCAACCCCTGGTTGTCCACGTTATGCATGGGGGCACAATGATCAATTACGTTTTTAGTTCTTTCGCGTAATATGCAATCGCAACTGGATATACTCTCACTTACCTATAAACAATGACAGTAGAAAACTAATAGCTTGAACACTGGCACCAATTTGGGATGCAAGAGCACTCACGACATCTCTCAACATCTTCTGTTTTCAACACGTTGTGTTGTGTACAGAAATTTGCGCGAGAGTTTCCGAGTAAGAATTTCTAGCTTACCAGGGTCAGGACTGGGTAAAAGAGGTTACTATGTATAAGTAGACTCAGGTCAATAACTAGAATATTGGATAAATGACAACAACGAAACAATTTCCCCAAATTAATTTGACACTATTAAAGTCACAGAATTTTATTTCATTTACAGTTTCATGCCATAAATAAATGACTTTGTATTGAAAATAAAAATATGAAGCATCACTTTTTTTCAAACCTCTCTGGATTCTTAACTACGAAAGCCGGAAAAGCTCATTTCTGAAAAGATAAAAAAATATTTAACTCGTTAAAACGAGTTAATTATCTCGTTATAACGAATTAGTTATCTCGTTATAACGAGTTAGTATCTCGTTATAACGAGTTAATTATCTCGTTATAACGAGTTAGTATCTCGTTATAACGAGTTAGTATCTCGTTATAACGACTTAGTTATCTCATTATAACGAGTTAATTATCTCGTTATAACGAGTTAGTTATCTCTTATAACGACTTAGTTATCTCGTTATAACCACTTAGTTATCTCGTTATAATGACTTAGTTATCTCGTTATAACGAGAAAATTAACTCGTTAAAACGAGATAATTAACTCGTTATAACGAGAAAACTAACTCGTTATAACGAGATAAATAACTCGTTATAACGAGATAACTAACTCGTTATAACGAGATAACTAATTCGTTATAACGAGATAATTAACTCGTTATAACGAGTTAAATATTTTTTTAATCTTTTCAGAAATGAGCCTATCCGGCCGGCTTTCGTACTTCTCAAATAAAATGAAATGAAAATTCATAAAAGTTAGTTTTGTGTTATTCTTAATATCAAGCTATCATTCATTCAGGTGCGGATCTAGAAATTTTTTCATAGAAAAGGGGGGGGGGTGAAGAAGAAGGAAAAAAAAGTTGTTAGAATAACGTTCGTTTATATAGGCCTAGTTAAACAACTTAATGATAGGCTACAGGGACGTAATATTTAGCGTTTTCAAAAACGGGATGAGGGCAAAAAAAAAATATATTAAAAAATAAAATAAATAAAAAAAAGGAAATAAAGGAAAAATAAACCTTCGAACCCAAAAATTATAATTTGTAGGGGGAAGGTGGTTCCATTTTGTTCCAACAACCAAATTTATTCATACATTAATACAATAGCCTTTCACTGAACATGTTCTTTAATAAAAACACATCAAAAATTTGGGACTCTCTCCTCTCCCTATTTGTCTCTGTCTCTTATTAGCAAATCCGGGGGGGGGGGGTCCGTAACCCCCACCCCGCCCCACCCCTGGATCCGCTCTATTCATGTAACTGAATATTTCCACTCTAACAAAGAAACGAGACTGGATTTTAAAAAACTTAAATGCGATGTTTAAAAAAAATATAACTAACTGTTAGATGTATATCAAAGAACTCGTTTGTAAACTATTTCATCTCATTGATTAATTTATAAGAACAAAAACGTCTTAATTGAATTTTAAATGACTCGTTGAGTAGTATGTGACAATGAGAAAACTTAAAAAAACAAACAAAAAAACTTAATGTTAACAGGCCTACTGTGGCATGTGATTGTTTGGGTGGTTGTGGTGTATGAAATTTAACACTCTTTCAGGTGATAAAAATAGTAAAACAAATTGAAAAATGAAGACACCAAAGAAATCTGTTGATATTAAAAAAAAAGAAACAGTATTATAAACTGTACATATGCATGTGAGTAAAAAGATAAAGCTCTTTTTCCTTTTTATCCACAGTTCCTTGCATGACAGATCTATTCAAAACTGTTCAAGCTAGTGCATTAGCATGATTAGCGCATTATCAAAATTTTATGAATATATATCAGTTTATTTGTTCAAATGAACAGATATATCATGAATGATTTTGACTCAATAATTTAAAAGAAAAAAAGCACATTGTAGTTAAATTTAAAATGACTCATTGCTATGTGACAATGAAAGAAATTTCAAAATTTCCTCCAAGCAGACTTTCATTTTATCAGAGACTTACGATATATATTTGTCTTTTTAAAAATAGACTTATAACATAATCAAATAAATTGAGAACTTTGTGTAAAGACGAATTCATATCTTGATTTGCTACAAAGCTTTTTTTTTTTGGTTTTCATTCTTGATTTCTTCTGTAACTCTAAAACACGTGATGGTTGAATACTCAGTGGGGCGAATTTACCCTCCCACCTCATGTAAGCGTCATTGGAAAACTTTGAATATAGTGCTGAATTTTTATGAGTTAAAGCGTTTAGAAGACCAAAGTTTAAAGAACCCGGATAATATGACGTCATTGCCATTTATTCGCCATTATCCATTATAATTTTTCATCGACTTGTGGAGGAAGCTGGACAAGTAGACCTCCTTAAGTTTTTCCAGTTATTTTCTAAGATAGAATGTAAGTTACACTTTAATGTTGCATTAAAAAGTATTTCATGATTTGCACAACTCAACATAAGCGAAAGTATTGCAAGTAATACGCCTTATTTAAAAAATGCTGCTGAGACAAATGATCTTCATCGGAATGTTACGGAATTCTCGTTCTAGATTAAGCATTTGTACCAATACCGATATCTTCATTTAATCACAGATCCTTGCATCTCTGTATTTTACATGAGGTAGATTTTCAATATGTCATGTGAAATGTATCATGATGCACCGTACTACCTGAAAACCGGAAATTTATGATAATACCCAAATCAGCTGTAGTAGAAACATCATATTTGTGTCTCTGTGTAGTAAAGCCTTTTAAGGCATGTTTTACAATACATACACACATTTCTACATAAATAAAGGGTAATACCCGCAAATGTTTTCTGTAATTAAATAAGAGATAGTATCTTTAGGATGTCACATGTTCTGATGTTGCGTGTCCTTGACATAGAAGGAGAGGAGAATGTTATTATATATTCTGGGTTATGTTGTGATTAAAGTTAGAGGAAATTAATTTGCAGCACTCGTTTAACAGTGCATGAAAATTGATTAAACATGCATAATGAGTAATTAATAAGTGTTCTATAGTCTCTTGAAAATGTGGATATATTTGAAACCTAAAAATAAATGAAGATTGAATTTGAAGGTTACCTTACTTCTACATATCACCAAATATTGAGATCTGTAATTTGGTGTAGATAATTTGTGTATCATTTGATTGCTTCCTTAAGGTCTGCTCCTCCACAGAATCCCCAGGCTGGTCCAGGGGGACCGCCTATGTAAGTATAGACAATGTTGTCCAGTTTCACAAGAGTACATTAGTTATGAGTTCATTGTTATTTTTATTTCTATTTTTATATAAAGAGGTTTACTGTTGAAGTATTGCCTTATTGCACAGCTGAACTCATTCAATTTTTCAATTTGAGGAACACCAAACATTGAATGAACTCTTAGTGTTAGTAGTAATTCCAAAAAGTAACATTTGTGTGAGCTAGATTTGATCAATGAAAAAAGGAGGTGTCTTAATTCATATTTCACAAGTTCAGTAGGATTTTGAAGTTTAAAAAAGGAATGTAAGGGGAATATTTCAAGGTCTCAAGATCCATGATAAGTGTATCCACAAACAGTATAAATTCAAGTTCATCCAAGTAATAGCCTCCATAGGTACAGTGGGGCCACATTAGGGTATCAAGAGTTTTACTTTTACATAGGAAACCTTTTCAAAAGCAGCATAGTTTATGATTAGTCATATTTATATACTTGCTTTTGATTCCTGATTTAAACAGCCTTAATTATTTTATTAGTTTTCTTCAAGCTTTGATTTGATGTCTTATTTTGTTATGTTACATGGAGAGGGTGAACGGCCTTGTAGCTGAGACACAAACAGATGTTACCTGTGTTGTCATGTAGATGTATAAATTTATTTTGGTTTTGTTGTAATTTGTATATATTTTTCATCACAGCAACATGTTTTTTTATGATATTAATGAGTCTTTAGATGTTTCAAATTTATGAGTATTAAATATTTATATTGAAAAAATTTGCACATTATTCAAGTACTGTTTTGGATTTTCAATATAATTGCATATGATCATAAAACTTGAATTTAAACCCAAGAGATTTAGTCTCGCTGCTTAATCAGAAATTGACTTATAGTAAATTGTGTTTTAAAGTTTGTATTTAATATATGCTTATGTGATCTTAATGAGCTTGCAATTTCTTTATGATTATAAATTTGAAGAATAGACAAATATAGCAAAAAAAACCCCATATTTTGATAATTTTGTTGCGTTTTGTAGGTCTGCTGCCGGAGGCCCAGGGGGGCCACAGCCCGCCCAGCCCAGCAAGCGCTTACAGCAGACTCAGGCCCAAGTAGATGAGGTCTGTTACCATTCATGTACTTTATAGCATATGATAGGGGTAAAATATTTTACAATACTTTCCTGGTCTTATGAAGGTAATATACTTCAAGTCCTGTTGTACAAAACAGGCATCTGTAAAAATCTCAAATTCTAAAATTTTAGAAGAAATACACAGCAGAATTGAATTTTTTATATTCAAGTTTATAAGTGCAAATTTATAAATTTATATCAAGCTTATAAATGCATGAAATAATGAAATATACAAAGGATTTCCTCTGCCATATAGTGAGAGGGGGTCCAACTACACATATTTTTCAATGTTAGGCATTATGAATACAATATGGCTTACATATATACATGTATGTACTTATTCCAGAAATGTTTGTCTTATTTCCAGGTTGTTGATATTATGAGAGTCAATGTTGATAAAGTACTGGAAAGGGACCAGAAAATTTCAGAACTCGATGACAGAGCAGGTAGAATTCACTGAAGTCTATTGAATCTCTGAATTGTACATTATTATGTTAGGACTGTTTTTGAATTATGTAAGTAAGAAGCATTAGCAGTTGTCTCTTTTCTAATCAAAGCCTATATGCTCATACCCAGTAAATGAAATTATATACATCACATTTTCTGTAC